GGCATGCAACCCGGGCAAAACTTAAAATTTTTCCCCCCCCCCCCCCCCCCCCCAACGCATCGCGTACCCCCCCTGTTGCTTTGATCGGTGAACAATTACCCTTGGCGAAGGATGTTAGAGTGCGTGTTCAACCTAGCTCAAGAGCATATCATCCCCCCCCCCCCGTAAACGCCGTTCAGGTGGGCGACATCCGCGACTTGGGCGCGCAGTGCGTACGGGAGCAGCTCTACCTGCAGGAGGTCCTGCGGCAGCACATTTCCGCACAGCTCAAGCTCCAAGCAGAGATCCACGAGCACCTCACCACCGCCGCCGCCGCCCCTTCCCCCCTAGACGGGAGCAACAGCGAGGTTTTCAACGAGGAGCAGGCGGTGGAGGGGAAGGGGGGAGAAGAAGCAGCTCGATGATGAGCCGGGGGTTGAGAGGTATTTTGGGACGAATCGTGCGGTACATTTTTCTGTTACGAGGGGTTTGAGCGGTATTGGGACGAATCTTGTGGTACATTTTTCTGTCACGCGGGGGTTTGGTCGATATTTTGGGACGAATCGTGTGGTACGTTTTTCTGTCACGCGGGGGTTTGGTGGATATTTTGTGGCCGAACTCTTGTCGTATGTTTCTGTTACGAGGGGGTTGAGCAGTATATTGGGACGAGTCTTGTGGTACGTTTCTGTTGTGCGACCGTAAGGAGGGGGTTGAGCGGTATTTGTAACGGTGTACATTTCTGCAGGGCGGCGTAGCAGCCTCTCGACAGCAGTCGGAAAGGAGGATTGAGAATGTGTAAGAGAGGGGCGGGGGGGCATTTGCGCTGTAGTGAGGGTAGGATTGTCGACTATTTACATCAGGATGCGACACCACCAGCTCGGGAGGGGAAAACAGTAAATGGGTAGCGGGAGGGAGGTCTTTTTGGACGCTGTTGGTTGTTGATGTTTTTATTGTTGTCGTCAGGGTCGAAAAAAGCGTTTCCGTCTCTTCTCGATACCACCTTATAATGTCCCCGCTGGTCCACCTTCAAATACCCGCGCTGGTTCAACCGACGCGGACGCCTTCCGTGGTGACAGGCCAACTCCCCCCCCCCAAAAGGGTACAATCTTCTGCACAATACTGACGCGGGCGCCTTCCGTGGTGACAGGTCAACTCCCCCCCCCCAAAAGGGTACAATCTTCTGCACAATGCTGACGCGGGCGCCTTCCGTGGTGACAGGTCAACCCCCCCCCAAAAAAGGGTAAAATCTTCTGCCCAATACTGACGGGGGCCCCTTCCGTGGTGACAGGTCAACTCCCCCCCCCCAAAAGGGTACAATTTTTTGCACAATGCTGACGGGGGCCCCTTTCGGGGGGACAGGTCAACTCCCCCCCCCCCAAAAGGGTACAATTTTTTGCACAATACGGACGCGGACCCCTTCCGGGGGGACAGGTCACCCCCCCCCCCAAAAAGGGTACAATTTTTTGCACAATACTGACGCGGACGCCTTCCGTGGTGACAGGTCAACTCCCCCCCCCCCAAAAGGGTACAATCTTCTGCACAATACTGACGCAGACGCCTTCCGTGGTGACAGGTCAACTCCCCACCCCAAAAGGGTATACTCTACACAATACTGACGCGGACGCCTTCCGTGGTGACAGGTCAACTCCCCCCCCATAACAGGGCACCACCTTTCTAATTAAGAAATCAAAGAACGGGATAAATAAAGAACATGACCCAGAAAAATGCTCCGGAACCGATTGCAGCAGCAGATCACCAACAAAAAAATAACCGGGAGGAGACCAGCGAACCCGACAAAAGAACAGTTTCGGATGTTGACAGGTGTAGTTTAAATACCCATCTTGGGGAACTCGATCGATGCAGAACGGGATGTCTCTTGCAGTCCAACGACCAACGAAGATACTCCGCTCAGGTACAAGTGCCTTCCTATGCCTTTTTTTTTTTGGGGGGGGTGCACTACTAAATAATGTGGGGATTTCATCTCCGTATTTTTTTTTCATTTCCCAATGTTTTTGCAAGCTGGGGATTGTTTCTGATGATCCGACTAACAAAAATCGATTAACGGAATCTGTGATGTGAATACACGCTTACCCTCGGAGTAGGTCGTATCGATTCACCACATGGACCACATCCTTGGGCGGCAGAACCCCATGCAGCATCGCCTGTACCAACTCTCAAGGCTGTGACCGAACCCCGCGGCCCTGCACACCCGCTCCCAGAAGCAAGCACATGGCCGTCTGCGTTGTTGAAACCTGAACCTTTTCTACGTGGTGCCTCTTTCGCCCGGACATTACCTATGTAGATACTCATGTCCCCACCGGAACGAACAACTGATCGACAGTCCTCTGCACCCCAACCAACGTAGTTATTACCTACCTACCTATGTAGATACAACAATCATGACGGCGGCACCTCTCCCGAACATCTATCTATCTATGTGGCACCGAGACAGGCTACGGCTTGGCCACGAGACACTTCCCCGACAGCGGGAAAAAAAAGCGTGTGTGCCTCACTGGTTGAGGAAGAAAACAACAGCTGCAAGGATGTAGTGCGCGACAATTGTAATATCAACATACCAGTATAGACCCGCGAGACATTGGCTCAGGCGTCAGACGACGAGGCGAATCCAAGAGCCAACCGACATCTGCGCCTTGCACGTAGACCCACGAATAATCGCCCCGGAGGTGGACGTAGTACATCCGTCACACAAAAAATGACACAAGCGGTTTCTACCCGTCTCCTGTTTTGTACGGGCTACAAGGGGATCCACTATCTGCTGGTGGGCGTGCGGGTGGGCGAGTCGGTTTCGCAGCAACCGTAAGAGGCGGAGAGATGGCACTCCCCCTACTGTAGACCGACTTTCAAAGCTCGATTACTCCACTACCGAGGGGGGCGCCGAAAGAGCTCGACACGTCTACGGAACGCCCTGGACGAGATGTTTCCAAAACCAACATTTTTGGTGTTGGCACAAACATCTTAGTTGTGGAGTAATCCAGCTTCGAAAATCGGTTTGTTCCAGACGACAGAACTACCCTAGGTTGCATTAACATATCTACATATGAGGGGGGTGCTACTGTATCTCCCCGCCTCTTGCGGTGCACCATGGTATTCTATTAGCGGAGGGTCACGCTCGGTCCGTAGTAGCGGCTCCACCGTGGCAAGCCTTCCGGCTCCGGGACTTCTCGCAAAACCACCCGCTCCTGTCTTCGCTCCGCCGCCGCCGCCGCCGCCGCCGCCGCCGCCGTCTCATCATTGGCGCTAGGACCGCCTTCTCTTTCCCCCTCAACACCACCATCGTCGGCGCCAGCGGTTCGTGCTGCTACCACTGCCGTGCCTCCGTTCCGGGATGTCAGCGGGGTTTCCGCTCGAAAGTAGGAGCATTTTCTTCCTCTGGAGCTGTCGTAGGGAGGTATCTATTTTTTTTCGTAGTGTTTTTCAAGGGAAACGGAGGGGGGCACGCAGAGGGCAGTAGCCCAGGGTGAGCACATCCCAGCATTGCGGACGCAGACTTCGCAGAAAGGGGCGCAGGGGGGGTTGCTATGCCTTGACGGGCGACCACTCTATGTTGTGATCCGATCCTTCGAGAGTTCAGCGAAAGAAGAGGCAGGGCGTCAAGGTTAAGACAAGCGCACTAAACCACCGACCCCCCCCCCCCCTCCCCGGGTTCGTAGCCTGGGCCGGCCAAAATCCGGCATATCGCTCCGTCCCGTCATTCCCCCCCCCCCCGGTGTTTGCCATCGGGGTTGGGTTTTCGTCGCTTGGCAACGACGTTGTAAAACAAGCCAATTCACTTCGTGAACTCAGCAACCAGGTTAGCGCTTTTTTTTTTACCTCTGTTTTTTTTTTGGCGGTAACAATAATGGTGGTCGAGTAGATCATGTTGTGCGGGGTGGAGAACCCTCACTCCGCGCAAGGGGGATGATCGCACCACGTTGTGTTAAAATGGTCAAGCATCCTCGAGGCAGTTACACAGTGCTTCCAACTGTCTCTGGAAGGCACCAGAAAATAAATTAAGTCATACGCAGCTATCATCCGTACGCAAGGAAGTAAGCACAAGATGCCGAACACCCTTAGCAGGATGCAGCTCACCCTTGATGTGACTCGCCAAATACCTCACGGCGCTTCGCGCTTGGTGATGTGAGAGCCTGGTCCGGTGAGAACCCGGCCTGCTCCGTCCCGGCTTTGTAGGGATGCGAGGTCAATGGTCAAACGACTACGGCATGCACAACTATGAGTACACCCCCCCCCCCCCCCTCCCACCCCCGTCTTCTCCCCTCACCAAGACATCGAACACCGCACACGCGGTAGGAGCCCTGAACGAGTGTACGTTGCCCTCTGACGGAGTCAGCAAGAAGGAAGGGGTCGCCGCTGTCACTCTGCCGCCCTCCTGCTGTTGCCGCCGTTGTGCGAAGACAACCCGCTGTGCTTCTTTCCGTCTTAGCTCGGCATCTGCGAAGGTGCCCCCCTCTCGTCTGCTGCCCTGTTCTTCCTCCGCCTCTTCCTCTTCCTCTTCCTCTTCCTCCATATCGTACGAGGTGACGTCCAGGGTGCCGAATAAGATCCTCGACAGGACGGCCACTGCTCGTATTTTTTGCGGTGGTGGTGGAGCGGGAGAAACGGGAAGATGTTGTTGTTGTTGTTGTTGTTGTTGTTGTTGTTGTTGTTGTTGTTGTTGTCGTCTACGTACAACACATTCAATATCCATCTGGTCTCTCCCGCTGCACCTCCTAATATTCCAATATCGGTTCAACTGATGCGGCCGCCTTCCGCGGTCGCAGGGCAACTACCCCACAACGCGAAAATACACGTCCGCAAAAGCAACAAGGAAATCAAACAGAAAAATAGTGCCAGCACTCGGGGGGACAGCGTTCGAGAGTGAAAGAGGTAGGCTGAAAGGCAGCCCCTTGGACAAACTGCCGTGCATGCGCCAGGGTGGAAACCCTCGAGGCATCTTCAACACGGGCAGTGGGAACTTCGTCGTTCGGTTTCACGGGTATTATGATGTACACGGCGATCGTCTCTCTCGCTTATGCGGCCTTTTTCTGGGAGCACTCGCTGTAGAAGTCGCGGGGGCCATTAATCGCCACTCGGATTTTTGGCGCTTTGTGGTCGCATTCGAACCAACTCGCTATCACAGCCACAAACGAACTATTTTCCTCTCTCAAGGGGATACTCATACACCATGAGGTGCGCTTCTCCTCTCTACACACGGGGGTGATCCCCCCCCCACACACACATAGCGCAACACACACGAAACAAACCAAAATCCAGCTCACTATTGGGGTGATCATGCAGAGGAATCTCGCCGCCCTTGGGCAGCACGAAGACGGTCATCTCGAAGCACGCCTCCGGCCCGCCGAAAACCGGCATGCACAGCGATTGCGTCAGCCCCTGGGTCAGGAGAGGGGTCAGCACGCCGGAGAGATGGAGCGGTGTTTCTGAGTGAGGGACGAAGGGAAGAACCGGTTGCTGTTGTTGTGGCTCAGCTGCTGCTGCTACTGCTGCTGCTGCTGCCGTTGCTGTTTTATAACGTTGTCGAGTTGTAGTTATTGATGCTGCTGCTGCTGCTGCTGCTGCTGCTGCTTCTGCCGTTGCTGTTTTATAACGCTGTCGAATTGTTATTATTGATGCCGCTGCTGCTGCTGCTGCTGCCGCTGCCGTTGCTGCTTTTTGATGTTGTCAAATTATTGTTATTGATGCTGCTGCTGCTGCTATTGTTGTTGTTGCTTTTTGCTTTGGGGTGACATGTTGCCACTGCTGTCGTCGTTGACGATGATGACAACGGTATGATGGATGCTGCTGTTGCTGCTGCCGTCCTTCAATGCTTACGGTGCTATGCCGACGACTACTGCTGTATACCTCCCTCGCCGTACTAATATTCAATCCAACGAAGCAAAAACCTACCCACGACGCAAGAGGTGGACAACGAGTAAAAAAATAAGCCTTCAACCCGCTTCTTACGATCCTGCCATGCGTCTTACCTGTAAATCCCGCTCTGACAGTCCCAGGTCTCGTGGTTGCAACTTGTCCATTAGTCTTAGTACCTGCGTCCCGAATGATGACAAAGGGTACAGACGGGTAGGTGAGGTGCGGGGAGAACGCGGAGGTATGAGCAGGAGGTATGAGCAGCGAGCACGGGCCTCACACAAAGTGGGTATTGTTGACAAAACTACAATCGCTAATCGTTGCGAGAAGCTAAACCTTTCCCCTTCTTGTTTGCGACGGTTGAAACTCAGTGAACTCGAATCTCGCCTCGCGCTCGGCACGCGACGTGCACAGACGGCCGTCTTCTGGAGTCGAACGGCTAAAACAGATGCGGCTCATATCGATCACAGCAAACAATGCTCACAGACGCTTTTTCTTGGTTCACGACTTTAAATCAGCGCTCACACCACACATCATTCTTGCCGTGAAGGAGCTGGATCCAATCCGTGGTCACAACAGAAGGGTTCCTTTCCCTCCACCCCTCCTGCCGTGCCTTGCCTTCGACTTCTAACGCGACAAGAGTGCAGCACTCTCTTCCCTCAAAGTGTGCGGCACGCAGCAATCAAACATGAACAGCAGTACTGTACTGTGTAAAGGCCGAATAGTGAGTGAGTGACAAGGGATTTCGCCGACCTTGTACGGGGCACCCGGCACTACTCGCCGATAAGAGACAACTTGAATACTAATATTCCATTTGTGTCTCGGGGAAAAATCACGGGCTCTATACAGGCGACCGGCTAAATTTATGCGGTCATATGCATGGACCACTGCTGTGTACCATTTTTTTTTTTTTCTTGGCGAATCGCTTGAAAAATTGAAGGCAAAGAACCGCAGGAGGGCGGGTGGGTAGGGGGCCTCACGGAGAGGAACCCCTTCTGTGTGACCACGGGTTCGAGTAAAACGGCACAAGTGCTGTGAGCGCTGACTTGAAGAGAAGAGAAAAAAAACATAAAAACTCGGTGAAACCGACGTGGCTTTGCCGCCAACCTTTCAACAAAATCGAAAAAAGCTGGTTGGCACAGAACCGATGCCATTCACACATCACACCTTGCCTTCGATATGACGGGACTGTCAGATCCCATCCGCGCCTCCCCCTCTGGGTCCGTGACGGCAACCAGCTCGTCGCAGATGGCCTGCACCAGCGGTACCTCCTGCCGGCGGTTTCACATCACGAACGGCACGTGTTTTGACAACGGTTGGTTCTAAAAATTCGAGGTCTTTTGCTTTTATTTTATACTTTAGATTGACCCCATCCTACGGGCGGTACGATTGCAATTTTTTGTGGGTGCGTGGGTGTAACTGTTGGAAATTTCGAAATTTCAGACTTTCCTCACTCTCATTCCTGGATATCTCTTTGGTGCCTGGCTGGCGACCACGGGCTGCACTACTGGGATGATTTTTTAGCAAGGTAGCAGCAGCAGCAGCAGCAACAGTATTAGCAGCACAACAGTAACAACAACAACAACAACAACAACAACAATGCCTGGGGAGAGTGTTAAACGCAACCCATGATGTTCCGGAAAAAACTCAACCCTCTGTTGCCCAAACTTCGTCGCTCCAAAGCTCCAAAAGCAGAGGCAGGGCTCCATCAATCAAAACGCCGTTTGTTTGCGGGAGTTGCGACATCCATCATCGTAAGAGAACAACACCCCATATGTGATGTGATGATCGATGATCGTTTCTCATTGAGAAAATTGACGAACAGTTTTCCGAGTGATTAAAAAACAACAACAATTTCCAGCGCTTTGGCGAAGCTGCTCACCTCTTCGCCGGACTGTAGTTCCGCAAACAACCCGCCGCCACCACGAAACGAGCCTCCCCCTCTCCTCAAAACCCCTCCGGGTACCCATGCCGGGGTTCTCGCAGCAACCTCATCGCTTGCGAACCCCACACAGACATGTGGTTTCCGGCACGATGCGGGCAGCCCGACATGCATTCAACGCCCGATTGATTTGGCACACGTTCGGGAGGGACGGCGTTTTTAGTAGTGGTGTTGTATTTTCGTAAAAAAAATGTCTCGACTTGTACCATGCACCTCGGACACAACACCCGTTCTGGTCCCAAAGGTAGTACAGAGAAAATAATCTCCTTGCTCGCATGGATGATGCCCCGGGGACGGTATCTGCCAATCCAGGCGAGTGCTCTTGCACGCACGACAGACGCAAACATTTCTTTCTCACCGGACCAGGCTCTCACGTTACCAAGCGCGAAGCGCCGTGAGGTATTCGGCGAGTCGCATGAAGGGTGCGCTGCATTCTGCTAAGGGTGTTCGGCATCTGGTGCTTACTTCCTTGCGTACGGATGACAGCTGACTTAATTCATTTTCTGGTGCTTCATTTCCAGAGACAGCTGTAAGCACTGTGTAACTGCGTCGAGGATGCTTGACCATTTTTACACAACGTGGTGCGATCATCCCCCTTGCGCGGAGTGAGGGTTCTCGACCCCGCACAGCATGATCTACTCGACCAACATTATGGTTGCAAAGACCGGGGGGGGGGATTAAAAGCTATGGGGACATCAACAACCGCAGAGCACCGGGAAAATTTCACCGTCAGCCCGCTGCTCACCCGAAAACTACCGAAGAACCAAACCAAAGCAACTGCCATTCACTACCAACTCCGAGCCGCGAAAACCAACAAATCAGTATAACACGTGGTCCCTATATGAGGCCGCATAGCGCCAAGGGATTTTTTGTCGGCCTTGCACCTGGCACCTGGAACTAAACAGAGCACGAGACGGCTTCACTATCCCATCTGTGTCCCGCGATTCCACCGGCATTGTATCTACAGAGTGACCGGGGGCTTAAAAATAATGGCGTGTAAAAGGCCGCTGAGTAGTCGAATTTCGGCTTCTAAAGGAACGGTCGTGGGGGTTCGAATGACCCGATCCTTTCACTCCGCTGCATGTTGTAAAGGGCTCACAACTGTACCAGCACCAACGTCGACTCCGACATAACACCAACACCAACTCAAGGCCTCTTACGTGCGAGCTACAGCGGCGGCTCGGGGCAACGACAGCGACGTCCTCCTTCCCGCCGACAGCGCCAGCGCGGACACGGACACTGGTAGGGGGCCGCACGTCCTCCGTAGAAGCTGCATTGAGTCTCTCTTGTCGCGAACAGAACCCGCTTTTCCGTTCTCGTCCGAACCGAACCCTCTTTCCGTTCCTGTCCTCTGTCTCTGTCTCTGTCTCTGTCAAGTGTCTTTTCTCTGTCCCTCTGACTCTGTCTCTGTCAGTGTCTCTGTCTCTGCCCCTCTCTTCACGCCTGCGTCCAATGTAAACACGAAAATGTGTTTAGCCAACTCGCGGGAGACAACGCAAAGACACCGAAGGGTGAAAATATCGTGGTGGGGAGGGGATGACGAGAGCAAAAATACTATAGGAGGAGATAAACGCTCCATTTACCGCCGGAACGCGGGGAAATTTGCACGGTCGGGAGACTCTTTCCGGATGGTCGATCACTTCATTTCCTTTGTGCACCGTAAATCCAAAGGGGGGGGGGGAAGGCAACGAAAGAAAGGTGTTTGCAGAAAACGGTCTCGACCGGGCGATTCCCAGCTGTAACTCTTGGCCTTGAAACATGTAGATTGAGAGTATATCGCGACGCTGTACATAGAAATCTTCTTCTATGGTGCATCGACAACGGTTGCCTAGTTGTTCGGCAGTTTTGTCATGCAACCAAATTTGCCCCGCGCGTGGTGGGCTCCCTCTTCTTCTCATCTGAGATACTGCTGTACGACCCGCACTCTTTGCACAGATCTACATGTTTGTGAACCATTGATCATGCTGCAACTCATCGAACAGCGTTTATGTGCACGCAGCTCGAAGGACATTGCTCATACACCCCTGGCTGCCACCGCCGTACTCTCCCATGCATCTGTAGACACCCGTGATGTAATTCGTTCGCATGGTGCCTGTGTGCTAAATGAGGGGGAAATAGAGCCACACGAGCACTTATGCAGCCTAAACAATACCTACTGCATACACACGCTGTACATCTTGCAACCACTTCACACGAGGTACAATAACACAAAAAAGGCAAACGAAAGAACAACGACAAAACTCACCCCTCAACCCAGCAGAGGTATCTCCTCGCTCTTCGCTCCTCACACGTCTTGATATGTGGAAGGGTAATATCTGCACTCTGCATCTCGGCGCGGTGGTGTTGGCACGATCTCCGTAATCTACGACAATCTCCGGAGAAGGGGGCTCCGCACACCGTACAGGCCCGTACACGTTGTCCCCGTCGCCCACCCGTCGCTGCCAAGTGTGTGCCCTGCTTGGTCGCTCAGTACACAGGCGCTGCATAGCAAGAGGAACAGCCGTAAATACCTTTTTAAAGTTATCCTAAGGATAATTCTCCACAGAGGCGAATAGTTCCGAACCGCAAAAGTTCATCACAGGGAGAGAAAGCAGGGACGACACCGCAACCTTCTTCCACAGGACACACCGCACTCTTTGGATCAGAACAAACAGCAGCACGGACTCATCATCATGGGGGACATGGGGATGGGGATGGGCCCTGAGATGGGCGGAGGAGGGGGCGGGGAAGAAGAGGATGAGAGGTGAGGCCAGAGTCGAGAGGGAGTGGCTTTTGCTAAGCCCGGCTACTGTCCTGTCGGCTACTTCACTTCCCCTGTCCTGTAGGCTGCTTCATAATACCTGGTACGCCCTACATTTGTACAAACGGCGACAGGCTTGCTGCAGGCTGCCTTAGACCGGTGATGTTCTGTCAATAATAGCACTACACTTGCACTGCTGTCGTAACCTTTTGACACTACCAACGTGGCGGCTTTTCACATGCGAAGCAGACGTTACTCGGCACACAACCGTCTCCACCAACAAACCTCTACAACTTGTCTGCGCTGTTGTTGTCGATCTGTCAAACTTCCAAACCCAATCGATCCCCTGCGCCGACCACAGAATGACGACCCTGTTTCAGTAGACTGTACCCTTCTCGTGCAATGTCCATTCCGTAGCGAGGTAGAGAAATAGCAGCTACATCATAGCACAAAATGCAGCATGTTGGTTGCGTTTGTTGGACGAATGTTGGCAACCCCACTCCTTGTGCCGTCCACAGCAACAGCAGTACCCGAGAGCCCACCACCAAAGCTGTTGGCTGCATCCATAGACCCTGCCGAAGGCAGTGAGCCGTGCTATGAGGTGGTCGTCCTCTGCCGTCGTCGTTGCACGAGCAGGGTGCTGCTTTGTTTTTTTTGGTTGACTCGGCAATAAATTTGGCAGCTGCTGTGTGAGCGAGGAATCCTGCAAGAGCTTAATGCCGATAAATACGAGCCGAGTCGCGCACGGGCGAAACACTTACCCCGAACCAGGCACAACGCGAGCGCTGCCACAAAGTAGCAGCAGCATGCCCCATCTGATCCATCTTGGTTGCCGGGTTCAAAACTGACGAAGCTGTCCGGCGAGTCAATGCTGTTCAGTGTGCTTACATCAAGTGTCTTCTCAGCCCTGAATCCTCGCCCCAAATTGGCGGCCCCGCGCGCTCGCTGATCCCCCTTGGAAAGTACGATAGTCTTTGTTTCTATCAAACTGCTGTTGTGCAAACAGTTGAGAATATTTCAGTACCATTCGCAGGTTTTTTCGATTACGTAAACATGTTGGATAAAACATGCAATCGGGGAAGTCGGGTTAGGGTTAGGGATAGGTTCTGCGTGCCCCCTCCCTGTTCTATTTCCTCATAAACTTAATTTCTCGCGAAGGCGGCCCGAATGTTTCGGCCACGTCGTTGTGATACTTCTAGTTCGCATGTCCCTCTTGCCAACCCCCCCCCCCCCCGCGCGCACACACTGCCGCACGCGTTTCGCAAAAAAAACGCAGACAATTCTACTCCTCCGAGAACGTTGCTCACAACACGAAGGTGCTGGAGTACTGCCGGACATCGCTGTGCGCCGTTGGGGGAATCGTGTCCGGTAAGGCGACAGCGACAAGCTTGAACGCCCGGAACTGTTTCGTACCTGATTTGCAGCACTCGCTCAAAGCGTCAATTATTTCCCGGAGCAACTGTGCGCTGGCGGGGGTTGTGATGTGGACTGAATTTTCCACTGAACGCTGGCTGCGGTTTTGATGTCGACTGACCGTCAACTGAGCGCTGGCTGCGGTTGTGATGTCAACACCTGCAAGGTCCTCTTGCTCTTGTTCCCGTGAATGCTCTTCCCCGGTGTTTAGAGCTTGTTGTGGCATGCTCGTGTTGGATCCATTGTCAAATTCATCAAGTTGGCTCCAGGAATATACGCGCGGCTAGACAGTTTTTCATGACGTTCAAAATCTAATCCTCCCCCGCCTCTGCGCTCTGTATTCTGCAGGGATCTTGGGGTTGACTGGACTGGTCGGGTTATTCTCCTATCTTATCCTGTACCTTGTCGGTAAGTGCATTCGTCTGTCGTCTTTGATCAGCAAGCCATTAGGTGTCGCACTCAAGGTGTGCCCCCCCCCCCCCCCCCCCCCCC